AAAGCTTTGGGCTCAACCAACATTTATTGAGGAGTTATTATATGCCAGATACTTCCATATATATTATCTATAGTTAATCCTTAGAAAAACTTTTGAAGAAGATATTATTCCAAGGAGAGTTCACATGACTTACTCAAGGTCACAGGTGGAGCTAGACCACATATCAGTTCTGTATTACCAATATTGTTCCAGCTCTGTGTTCTTCCCACACATCACAGCTAAAATAGAGAGATTACTTAGGAGAGAGATATTGTCCTGTATTAAGACTGTAGAGGTGATGTTACCTTTACATACAAGAAATAGGGGAAATGGGATTTGTCTCCCCAAACATTTTTTTTAAAAACTTTATTTTTGATCAATTTTAAGGTGACAGCAAAATTGAGAGGGAGGTATGGAGGTTTCCCATATACCCTCCATCCCCCACATGCATAGCTTCCCTTGTTATTAACATCTTACCAGAGTGGCACATTTAATGTTACATTTAATGAACCTACATTGACACATCATGACTATCCAAAGTCCACAGTTTACATTAGTGTTCACTCTTGGTACAAATATATAATGATATGTATCCACCATCATAGCATCATACACAATATTTTCACTGCCCTAAAAATTCTGCTTTACTCTACCTATTCATTTCTCTCCCTCCTTTACATACCCTCCAGCACAACCTGTCTTTTTACTGTCTTCACAGTTTTGCCTTTTCCAGAATATCATAATGTTGGCGTCATACAGTAGGTAGCCTTTTCAGATTGGTTTATTTCCCTAATAGGCATTTAAGTTTCCTCCATGTCTTTTCTTATCTTGATGGCTCCTTTCTTTTTTTTTTTCTATGATTTTATTTATTTATTTGAGAGAGAGAGAGAGCATGAGAGGGGAGAGGGTTAGAGGGAGAAGCAGACTTCCCGCTGAGCAGGCACCCCCAATGTGGGACTCGAGCCCGGGACTCCAGGATCATGACCTGAGCCAAAGGCAGTTAGTTAACCAACTGAGCCACCCAGGTGCCCTTGATGGCTCCCTTCTTATTAGCACCAAATGATATTATATTGTACGGATGTACCACAGCATATTTATACATTTACCTACAGAAAGACATCTTAGTTCCTTCCAGGTCTTGGTGATTATGAATAAAGATGAAAGGGGACCAATTTCCAAATCCTCAACTTTCTTTAGTCCTACTTCCTAAAAAAAAACCCTATTTGCCTACTCTCACCTTCTCTCTGCCTTTCCTCCTTCTCTTTCCAAGTCTCTAAAAATGAAAGCCTACCTTTCAAAGGTCAAAAATCTTACTAAGGTACATTGACTCAGGGTGTAAAAACCCTTGGTGCTAAGCAAAGTGCAATTTCAAAAATCGATGCCCAGAAATTTTCTTTAAGTCAAGGTCCTGTGCTACCCCTTTCCCATCCATCTCACTAAGAGTTGCATTCCCGATAAAGTTTATGTTTTATGTTTAATAATAATAAATACCATAGGATTTCACTTATATATGGCATTTAAGAAACAAAACAACCAAGTAAAAGGGAAAAAAAAAAGAGAGAGAGGCAAACCAAGAAACGGACTCTTAATTATAGAGACCAAACTGTTGGTTACCAGAGGGGAGGTGGGTGGGGAGATGGGTTAAATAGGTGATGGGAATCAAGGAGGACATTTGCTGTGATGAGCACAGGTGATGTACAGAAGTGCTGAATCACCATACAGTACACCTGAAACTAATATTATACTGTATGTTAACTAACTGGAATTTACACAAAATCTTAAAAAAGAAAAACCTCTGAATGACCACACTTAGACTTACCCAGTCAAACTGGATCATTTATTGACTCAAATCTTTGATCCATGGAACAAGATAATTTAGCGATAGCAGCATAATCCTATTACATGGTTCATATTGATAGGATGTTTTATGACCTTGATGCTGGATCTCAGGTTACCCTAATTGTGTAATGGCTATTTGAGGTGTGTTGTTACAAAGATTATGAGATCTGAAAAAAAGTAATGATCACAATGTATAAGAGTTTTATGCGGTTTTTATCTATTGTGTATGCATAACAATTGTGATTGTAACTGAATCTAGAAGACTTTTTATACTTGGATGCTATGATCACAAAGAAATAAAAATAGTTCAATTTCTATTTATGGACAAATCTTTGTTGCAGAGAGATTCAATATGGTGATCATTAGGAGACTTTCAAGTATAAAAATATATTATAATGGAATACAATTCTGTGGGGAGAATGCAATGTATATTCGATTTCAAGGAGAAGAAAGGAACAATGCAAATTTTCTGAAGGTTAAAAGAAAGTTTACACTTTTGTGTTTAATGTTGATAGTGGGCAGCAAATTGCTCTGGTATTTAGAATCCAGTGAAAATCTTTAAAAGCATAACATAAAGGTTTTATTCTAAGTTGTCAATATGTATAGTATACTGGATATTATACCTTTTGCAACTACTTAAACTTGATGAAAAATTTCGTTGTCAACCTAAAAATATGTGAGGGAGTACATAACTTCTCAAAATTCTTCTAGGGGTTATGTGAATAAAAGTTTGAAGATCCCAATCTTATAGTGCTGTTGTGAGGGTGAAGTATAATGTGCGCAAAGCATCTAGGATAATGCTCAATTAATGCAGCTATTATTTGAGGACTGAGTTCTAATTTTAATCCTCTTTCTTCTCTGGTATTTGATCCAGGGCATTTTGATCCAGGCACTTTAGCCTCATTGTCTAGATAAAGGATAAAACAGATGGCTGTAAAAACACTTTGAGTATAGGAAGTTAGACAAGCAAGAGTTTACCTAACATCAATAATGTCAGTGGTAATATTCATAGAGATGAAAACAGGTAGAGAGTCTATAAGTCAAGGCATATAGCAGATATGCAATAAATGCTTGTCAAATTAGTGAATGAATGCTATACAGAACCTTGCTAGAATGAAAGACCATATGCTTGTTTATTGGACACCTTCCCTAGTACCTGCAATAGTGTTTTAAAAGCCCAATTTGGACATTTTCTCGTAATTATAAAATGAGTAGACAATAAAATCCTTCCCTGGGATGTGGCTACTTATTAATTTTCTGAAGGCATTTCTTCATTGGACTCTTTACCATACTGCAGTATAGTGTAGTGTGTAAGAGCAGTGGGCTCTAGAGAACCAGCCAGGTTAGTCTCAAGTTCCAACACTGCCACTTAACTAGCTGTGTGTCTTTGGGCAAGTCATTTAACTTCTCTTCAAGTGGGGTATCTTTACATGGGTATAATAAGGATACCAACCTCATAGGGTTATTGAGTATTAGTGAAATGGGTTTATAGAATTACAGGTTGTGTGGAAAGTAGAGCAATGTTGCCTCGAAATATGTCCATGTCCTAATCCCTGGAACCTGTGAATATATTACTTTATGTGACCAAAAAAAAAAAAATCACAGATGTGATTAAGTTAAGGATCTGGATATGGGGAGATTATCCTAAGTTATTTGGTGGGTTCTTTTAAGCAAAAGAGGGCAGGAGAGTCAGTGTCAGGGCAATGCAGTGGGAGGAAGACTTGATTAGGCATTGCTGGCTTTGAAGATGAGGGAAGGGGGCTATGAGCCAAGGGATGTGGATAGCTTTTAGAAGCTGGAAAAGGCAAGGATGTGGATTCTCGCCCTTGAGCCTCCAGAAAAGAACACAGCCCTCTGACATCTTAGTTTTGACTCAGTGAGGTCCATTTCTGATTTCTGACTTCAAGAACTCTAAGACAATAAATTCATGTTGTTTTAAGTTACCAAGTTTGTGGTGACTTTTTTTTTATAGCAAAAATATGACCCCCATACAGGTGGCTTAGCCATTATTACTCTATTTACAGCCCCCTTCAGTTCTGGCTTTTCTTGGCTTTCTTCACAGGGCAATGTAACCTAAATACTTCTCCAAAATAAAAATGGGTCCTTTTGCCCATGTACACATGATTTTCCAACGCAAAGCTGCTCTTAATCTCAAGGCATCCAACTGTAAGAGTAGCCACAGTTCTCCCACCTTGACAATGAACAAGAGGTCTCTCAACTAAGCCGCAAGACAATTTATAACATCCTGTTCTTAGTTTTTCCACTTACACACGGAAAATCATGTGCTTTAATGAACAACCTCTGAGATGAGTGGAATCACAAAAACCATGCTCTGAGGTCCTTTTCAGAAAAAAAGTGAACTCCTAATTATGGCCTCCCTTCCTTTGGCAGGGAGTTCTGCGCCTAACATTGCGATCCTCGGGTAGGAGCCAACCCTTGAGGTTGTTCAGGTCGAGGGCCCAGGAGAATTAGAACACTAGGATAGGGAGAAATGGGCAAGGGAAGGGGAAAGGAAGTTGCTCTCACAGAGGGAGGCTGGAAAGAGTGTAAGGGAAAACAAAAACAACAACACAGCCAAGTAATGGGAAGTGAGAGATGGCCTCCCGCAACCGATGCCTCCGGGGTTTCTCTCGCTCGTTTTGGAAACTTTCCCTCTTTAGGCTCCAGGGCGGTGCACCTGCCTCTCTTGGCTGAGCGGGAGGAGCGAGCCTGGGGCAGGCTGGGAAAGTCTTGCCTGGAGAGCCTCCGCCCTGGCGGGGTGGTGGGGAGACTGCAGGGAGGAGTCATGGGGCGAGAAACGGAAAGACTACATCTCCCAGGCCTCCATGCATTCCAGCTGGAGTCCTAGGGCTCCGAGTGCTCCCCAGTTTCCGTAGGGAAGCGCCAGGCTACCGCAGCTATTGTGCGTAGCGATATCGCCCTCCCCTTCCCTCTCGGCTGTCTAGGGAGGAAGGCTACGTTTCAATTACCGCCAGGGCTTAACCCCTCCGACGCCTAACAGGACAGCAGGCCGGCTCCCTTGGACCAGGAAGAACTCTCAGGAGCAAGAACAGTTTGGTAACGCAATCCCAGGGTGCGTGGAAGACAGTTGAAGAAGGAGCCCGAGTGTTGGGGATCGGCGCAAAGGTTCGCTAGGGCGGGGCGGGAGCTCTGGCTTTAAGAAGGGGGAGGGGATAGTGCAATCAGGGTTGCCCGCGGAGTTCAGCAAAGGAAATCTTCAGTTAGCTCGGAACAAGGAGCGGGGAGAGGAAGCTTCCAGTCCCAGCGTCCACCCCAGCCTCCACCCTGGGCGGGCCAAAGTGTCACGTTTGCAGTTGCTCAGGAAGTATCCCACTGGTCTCCGGAGGCAGGCTGGGCTGCCTGTCTGGGGAGGCAATGCCTTGGGGGCATGCTGCTTGCTAGGCAGAACCCTTCCAGGATCGGACTGCATTAGTTAGGTCTCTGTGTCACCTGAAGCAATTGCCGGCTGCCTGCTTCCGGTGGAGACCAGCCAGTTCTACCCAGGAATCTCAAAGGAACAGGTACCTGTCCTCCAAAGGGAGGGAGGCTATGAGTTTCCCAGGCGGGTCCCACACTCAGTTCCCCCAATCTCCTTCCCCCTACTGTCCCGCTGATGCTCTTGGTCTTTGTGTCTTTCCTCGCTCCTTTCAGCCCTCGCCATCAGAACCATGGGGCATCCCCCGCTTGAGTTCAGCGACTGCTACCTGGACAGTCCCGATTTCCGCGAGAGGCTCAAGTGTTATGAGCAGGAGCTGGAGAGAACCAATAAATTCATTAAGGACGTGATCAAAGATGGCAACGCGCTTATCGGCGCAATGAGAAGTAAGTGGAAGGCTTTGGTGGATGAGCTAGTGGCTCTGGCCTTTAAGCTCTTCCACACCACAGGGGGAAGGGAGGTTTCAAAGTGCTTTCCAATTCAGTTCTCTGAGGCAAGTGGGTTTCCGAACACTTCGGAAGTGGGGTCAGTGGAAGGTGGTGGCTGTAATTAGAAGGCCTTGACCTTACAAGACTTGATCAGTACCTGTGCCAGGGACCTTCTTGCTCTGCAACTATCATTACTTGGCGGATTGTTGTTCTGAAGGGACAATTTGCCTGTACTGTTGGACATGTTTAGTACTCATGTGTACTATATATCTCTCTATCTATCTATATATTTGGGTAAGGGTATGGAGACTTTCAAGCTGACCAAGGAACTGCCCTAGCACCTTCTAAATAAGAGAGATTCGAAGCTGGCAGAACAAGTAATGGTTTTGTCCTGGCCTATGGTTGCTAACGAATGAAGGTTGGGGTAGTGAAAGAAAATTCCCTATATCAACCTGTTTTCTAAGGAAAGTTCCTTCGCCCCAGAGATTTTTTTTCTTTTAAGGTACTGAGCTATGGGGGAGCCTGGATGGCTCAGTTGGCTCAGGTTGTGATCCTGCGGTCCTGGGATAGAGCCCCACATTGGATTCCCTGCTCAGTGGGAAGCCTGCTTCTCCCTCTCCCAGTCCTCCTGCTTGTGTTCCCTCTCTCACTGCATCTCTCTCTCTCTGTGAAATGAATAAATAAAATCTTTTAAAAAAAGATACCACGAACACAAATTTAAAAAGAAAATAAGGGGGAGGGAGACAGGGAGAGGGTGGTGGGGTTATGGACATTGGGGAGGGTATGGGCTATGGTGAGTGCTGCGAAGTGTGTAAACCTGGCAATTCACAGACCTGTACCCCTGGGGCTAATAATACATTATATGTTAATTTAAAAAAATCCAAAAAAAAAATAAAAAAGAAAATAAGGCACTGAGCTATGGTTTTGGTCAGAGTCAGTGTAAGCTCAGAATTTTGGATGGCCTCACATGCCACTGAATTCTGCTTGGGGGTGAAACAAAGACCTGCCTAGTACCTGGCACAAGGAGCCCAGTCCCCAGAGAGCATACTTCGGGCTAGGCTTAAGGGCCACTGGTCTGAAGGAACCTCATCTAGCTTGGCTTTGCCAGTGGTCACAGCTGACGTCTGTGGGACCCTACCCCCCCTTCCCCACTGTGTGGAGTTTTTATTTCTGCTAGTTGGCAGAGGCTTGGAGTAAGAGAAAGAATAATAAACATTCCCAACAAGAGTGCAGGCGAGCCAGCCCTTTGCGCCAAAGTATATATATCCAGAAGAATGGAGGCTAGCGTTTGGGTGGAGTGATAATTTTTTCTCTTCTTGGCTGCAAAATGGTTTCAAAAAAGAAAGTCACTGCTCATATTCACTGGTAAATGTGTCCTGTCAGCTTATGACTTTGTTCGGAATGCATTTATCCCTGAAAAACTGTGTCTTAGTCCTGTGTGAGGACCTTCTTAAGGCAGATGGAGTCCATGAAGAGTGGGGAGAAAGGCTTGGTATTTTTGTGCAGCTCTTTTGATTTGCTCCTGGCAGGCCTGTGCTTTCACTGCCAGTGTTGTCTGCCCACTTTGGTCAGAATATATAAGTGGCCCACGTCCCCGCTGGTCATTTGATGGAGTCTGATTATTTAATTTTTTTTGGTCGTATTGTGGTCCAAACAAGAGCACACTCTCGGGAGCACCTGAAAGATGGGGAATTGGAAATGCTGGTCCTTAGAGGCATATAGGCTGGGCTTTGGGGTGTGTTGTCACTTAATAGAATTCACTGAGGGGTTAAAGATATGCAGGTTATGACACAAAACTAGTTAGACAGATTGAGCGTTCATTGAAATGAAAGGGGGAGAATGTTTGGATTTTTTAAAAAAATTTACTTAAACTGCTTGGTATATGTAGCTCCTCATAAACCCCAGAAAGGGGTGTGAAGTGTATGGTAAGCTGAAACTGTGCTAAAAAGTGACCAGCTGCAGAGAGATTAAGATTTTTAAGAGACAATAAACAGTTCAATAACACATTTGAGGAAGAGTAGATTTTTGTATGCTAAGGGCAAATAGTGGTTCTGACTCTTTCCTTCTCTGAAATGGAGACTGGTAAGAATCAGCAGTTATTAAGGCCTAAACCTTTGCAGATGGGTGGAAGATCCAAGAAAATATTTTGGCCCATGGGGCTTCTTGATATTCAGGGTGGTTTTCTGTTTCTGAATATACATAGAAAGCCAAAATAGGGCAGGGAGGAAGTAAAACCCAGCAGCTAACCCACACTCCATTTCTTTCCTTTAAGTTTGCATGATTCTAAAAACATGATTAGGTAGAAGCAAAGGCGGGATGTTTCCCACTCTCTTGACCACAGTAATGTTTATCCTCCCACTCCACTTCCTTACACAGTGCTAGCTTTTTCAGAATGAGTGGGGAAGCAAAACAAAGGTAAGCTTTTCTTTGTGTGAAGGAAACAGGAAAAAGAGAAGGCTGGAACTGGAGTTAGAAGACGTGGCTTTTCCATCTTGGGATAAGATGGCATAGATTGCTGACTTCATCTGTTAAATAGGGGTGATTATACCCACCTCACAGTGTTGTTGTGAGACTCAAAGGAGTTAATGGATTATGAAAGTGCTTTGTAAATGGAAACAGTCAAACATAGAAAGTTGTTGATAATGCGTCTTTAGGTTAATAATGTATCTGATGGTGAGTGTGTGTTTTTCAGTAGGTTTCTGAAGGGCAATGAATAAGCAGAGGTCGTTAGAAACATATTTTTTACTGTCATCTTATTGGAAAATGTCACTCCCTACATTGGCATGTCTCAGCAATTAATTTTGTCTTCATATGTGGGGATTCATTTTGGCATTTGGAGCCTGGCATGAAAGGCTGATTGTCAGAAAGAATGATTGACACCTTTCCCTTTAACTTACTCCGTTGACTAGAAAATCAAATGGCTAGTGTTTCTAGGAACCAATGAAACTTGGTGCATTGTGTTGCAAAAACTAGGTGCAGTTTTTTTTTTTTAAGTTGTTAGCCTAGGTGGAACTGGATTTCTGCGTTTATCCTGTTTGTGTCTGATTTTGTACAGAGCTCCAGATTAGGTTTAAGTCAACTTTGTGTGATGATTTATTCATTAAACATGGGTCCCTTTTGAACATTTAGGTTTACTTATCTGTCCTCAGAGGTAAATGATGTTATGAACAATACTCAACATGTCTCTCTTGGGGAAGTGGTTGATTACGCCCCTTTAAATGTGATCTATTTATAATGGTTGGAGTACAAGATGATGGTTATAACTTAAACTAATGGAAGATAAAAATACCATGACTCTGAAAGGTGAACATATTGCTTGCTTTTCTGTTTGTCCTTTGGTTTTCTGTTGGCAGCTTTGGCCCCTGATGTTGTTTGAATATTTTCTAAGCACGCAGGCTAGGAATTATTCAGAACAAGTGATGTGGCTCCTGCTTATATCACAAGGCAACATGATACATCTAATAAATGTTATATATAGTTCAGTGAACACATACCATTCATTCAGGAAATGCCTGTGCACATACTGTATTCAGGCTGCCGTGCTCAGGGCTGTCACAAATGTGGCAGTCTTTGTAACAATGGATCCTGCCCTCAGAGAGTTCCTAGACTAGTAGGAGAGAAAAGACATGGGTAAAGATGATTATCAGGTAAAGATCACTATCACTATCACTATCTACCCTATCAGATGTGGGTAGAGGTCACTATCAGTGGATGTGGATCCTAGCCATAAGAATGGAACAGGTGGATATCATGGCACATGAAGACCAGCAGGAGAGCTCATTTCTTGGTGAGAGGGCAAGGGAAAGGAAAGAAGGAAGTGGCATTGGAATTTGTCCGAATTCATACTTATTGCTTGTTTAACTGTTCCCAGTGCCAGGCATTGAAATATTATAACAGCCTTATGAGGTAAGGATGATTTTTCCCATTGTATAGATGAAGAAACTGAAGTTCAGAGGTGCTAAATAACTTTTTCAACAAATAAGGGCAAGAGTCTGATTTAGAACCCAGACCTGAGTCTGAAGGCCTTGCTTATTTTACTATGTTGCTCTGTATTCAGGATGAGGTATTTCATGTAGTAGAAATGACCCAGGGGATGTAAAGGGACAGCAGATAATTCAAGTCATCTGCAATGGATAGGTCGCAGGAAGGGCGTTTTGGGGAGATGAAGTTGGAATGGCAGGTTGAGGCCTTACTGTGCAGGGACCTGTTAAGTACTTCAGATTTTTCTTGATAGAGGGAGGGAGTATTAAAAATGTTTTTGGTAGGAGAGAAGCATGATTTGAGCTATGCTTCAGGAAGATTCATCTGATAGTGATGTGTGAGGTGAGCAATTCCACACAAACATTTGTGACTTTTCAGAAGTTATTTGGCAGCTTTAAATTCCCTTTTTTAAAAGATTTATTTGTTTATTTGAGAGAGGGAGGAGGGGCAGAGGAGAGACAGTCTTAAGCAGACTCCATGCTGAGTGGAGAGCCCAACATGGGCCTCCATCTCATGATCCTGAGATCACAACCTGAGCTAAAACCAAGAGTCCTTCACTTAAGTGGACTGTACCACCCAGGTGCCCCTAAATTCTCTTTGATATAGCTCATGGGTCAGCAGCAAATCTCTTCTGTAAAGGGCCATGTTTTAGGCTTTGCAGGCCATACAGTCTTGGTGGCAATTACTTAACTGCCATTGTTGTGAAAAAGCAATCATAGATAATATATACCTGGAATGAAAGTGGTTGTGTTTTAACACAACTTTATTTGTTGACATGGAAATATGAATTTCACTTAATTTTCACATGTCATGAAATATTCTTTTCAGCTGTTTAAAAATATAAAAACCATGTCACCTCAGCTAAGGGACAGAGGCATACAAAATAGGCAGCAGGTTGGGTTTGTCTCACTGGTAGCAGTTGGCAGACTTTTGATACAACTAGTTAACCTAAAAAAAAGCTAAATGGATTTTTATTG